AAAAGTGAATTTACTCTGTAAATCTTCACTCAAATCAAAAAAATATTTATAAAATATTAAAAATATTTGGTAGGTTCTACCAAAATTATAAAATTTAGATATCTTTTAACCCTACAATTCCATATTTAGAAATATGTTTGTTGTAGTGATAATTAGAAAATACCTAAATGCCCATGAATAGGGGTATAGTTAATAAATCATGATAGTCTTTGCCATAGGATACTGTCTGGCTGTTGAAAAGAATGATGTGCACTAACAATAATAGCTAACATCACTAAATAGTAGGGAATGTTCTAAGTATTGCCTATTTATCAATATATTTAATCCGAAAGAACACAATGAAGGGAATCCTATTATCCACATTTTACAGATGAAGGATCAAAGACAAAGAAATTTGATAACTAATATAAGATCACCCAGATTTAAAGGCATCTTTGAATTCAGGCATGGAAAAAGGAGAATTCACACAATTTTTACCACTAGGCTATCCCATCTCCTATATGTTGTGACGTGGAAAGACCACAAAGTGAAAAAGTATATATCATGATAATATGTGTGTTAAATTTAATACATGAATAGAAAGATATGTATATTAAAATTTCTCAAAAAGAGAACACAGAACAAGAACAAGAGCACAGAATAAGAAATATAATTGCCAGGTTGGACACATCTGACTGCTAATCAAAAGGCTGCCAGTTCAAACCCACCAGCCACTCCTCGGAATGAAGACTGGGAAATCTACTTCTGTAAAGATACTATCTCGGAATCGCAAGGAAGGGTCACTGTGAGTCAGGAACAACTTGACGGCAGTGAGTTTGGTTTTGGTTTTGATTGGTTGTACACAAATGTTTGTATCTTCATAAAAGGGTGACTGAAAGGTCCCACACCAAAGTGTTGACAGTCATTATGTACGAGGAAGGAATGGATAAGAGATAAGGGAATTTTCATAGCCGATCTGTACTCTTTTGATGGACCAAAGACCATGTTTGAAAGTATTACCTGTGCCATTATATAAATTAATCAAAACCGTATCTGACCTTCTTCTGGTGAGGATGGTTTAGTCCCATTTCCTTTGTCCACAATCTTGACTCTGGGCTTCAACTCCTTTCTTTTTTCTAAATCTTTAACTGGAATAGAAACAGAAATACAGCAATGTGTTGTGTTAAAGTCTAAAAGAAAATATTCAATGAGTTTTAGTAAAACCTTTACAAGTCCTGAAGTATTAAGTAGACATTTGCTCCAAGGTAGAGCTCCTTTTCCAAAAATAAGAACTGATGTTCTGTTTTATTTTGTTTTTTAACCTTCTCCTGGGGAGGTATGGCAAACATGTAAGGAACTGAGTTGAATACTCACTATGGGCAGATGTATGACATAGATTAATCC